ATCATCATCATCATCATCATCATCATCATCATCATCATCATCATCATGGTACGAGTATAACTATAACCTCCCCTTTTCTTGGTTTGGCCCAGGATGAAACCAAATGACTTCAAACACCGCCCCTTCGCTCCAGATACGCATCTTGGGGGACCATCGGCCGAGGTCGGCATTCGCCAGCTCGGTCTGCTGCGCCCGGCCGCTAAGTGGCCACAAGGTCGGACGATGTTTCCGCGTCAAAACTCTCGACCCGCGATTTCTCGACGATTTTGTCCCGGTTTAGGGGCCCATTTACAAAAAGAAACGGTCGACAGGTTCAGACCAAAAGCCGACCCACCCTTGATTCATGGCGCTGTTTTAAGAGTTAAGGGCGGCAGCAAAAGTTCATGGTGCTTAGGCTATCAGGCGCTTGGAGGCCGGTGGTGATTTATCTTTCCAAACACCTCTTGCTACGAGTACTGCAAAAAGAAGAGACAAGTGACAAGAGCTTTTCTCCTTCCCATACGCCTGGAGCCCTGCCGGCCATGCCCTGCCTTCCGTGGGTTGTCCGATCACCTCGTTGCTGAAGGCACACATTCCACCTCAGCGACGTCGTCGGCGTCATCACCGTTCCGTCGTCTTCACGTTTGGAGTCGCCGTTGAGGTGTTTCGGAATGGCCGTTGTTCTGTTCCGAAAGTGCCACGGCTCGGCTGGTGCTTCAAGTGCCACGGTCTCAACTTGTTGGACCAAACAAGTAAAAGCACTGGGATGAAAGCGAGGAAAGAAACATGTGACACAACTCTTGGGGAATGATGAGGCCATGGAATGAAAGAAACACCTAATATGTTCAGAAGCCCTCCTGAATTCTACAACATCGGTATTCCTGGTATTTTAAAAAGCCACCGATGTTGCAAAGTTTTGGCCACGGTTCAGGTTGCTTCGATCTCTGATGCCTGTCGATTTGGATGTGTATGATGCAGGGAGAACCCTGAGACTAGAAAAGTACCAGTTAGTTGGAGTGTTCTCCATTTGTGCACCCAACTCCATATCCTGCCGTCCCGCAAGCATAGTTTCCATTCTAACGGACTTCATTTAATGGAGAACATGATAAAAACACACACACACACACACTTTGAGGGGCTCAATCCGCCCACCTTTAGGGTTTTGACTTAGGGCAAATCGAAGGTCTTGCGCCGGCCAGTGTTAGAGTCAACTGCTCAATCTCGAAACTGTTTAGGGAGTCCTTCCGCACCTCCCTAGAACCGCATGTCAAACCAAGCAATTATCAAGCATATAAATCTGGAAAACCAAGCAATTGCAATTATCAAACCAAGCAGTTATCATGCGCTGCGTGTCCTGAAACCCCGGACACTTTTAGACGAAAGCTATCGAAAGCTGGGTCCCGGATCCAGTCTACCGGATCGCGCATCGTCCCGAAGGGTCCAGGACCATCCGTTGCTCGCCATTGTCCGCCCCCGTAGAGGTACCAAAACCTCCGACGATACGAGGTCAGGACTTGGATGTTTCAGGTGGAGACCTTGAAAGCACCCCAGAAGAGGCTCCGTTCGCACCTAAGGCGCCGAAGGTGCTCCCAAGGCGCCGAAGCTGCGGGTGACCTTCTCTTCTTCGTTGGACTCCGTCTCGTGCTGAGCGGATTGGATCACCGCCCAATCTTCCTGTGAGGCCCGGGTCGCAAGCAGAGGGCGTGTAGTGGAATCCGATCCATTAATAATTAGATGTTATTAAATGATGTCAATAGGAAATTAGCTATAGCACACTTGGATATGTAGAATTGTGGTCGCTTTGCAAAACTCACTTGATGTCTGTCGCTTGACGATTCCTGAGAAAACTGTCGCTTCATAATTTGGCCTGCCACTTAGGACCTTCAGTGGTCAGTAGTGCAACGAAAAGAGTTGGGCACATTCATGTGGCATTTTTGCACCAAATTTCTACCTCTTTACGCGGAGGAGTCACTGCATTATCATTTCTCTCATTCTCTCCCAAACCCCACGACCGCCTCTTCCCCAGACTGCCACGAGAACCAGTGGCGCTTCACCAAAAGCGCACCCCTTGAGAGACAAGCCTGTACATCCCATGTGGGCCATGGGCTTCCATTGGACAACGAATGGTCCTGGTACCAATACACGGACCTGGTCGTCTTTAGTTGATTGATCTGACCGCCCTGAAGGCCCTTGAAGGCCCTGGGCTGGTCCAGCCACCTGGGCTAGTTCTTCTGCACCAAATGGACCAAATGAAATCTTGTCCCAGGTAGCACAATTGCAGGAAAAACATGCGAGCAGTGACCAACCAAGGGATTCCTTTTGTGCCTTGTGTTTCATGTTGTTTCCAAACGCTGCAAACTGTGCGTCCATCCAAAGACCCAAAGGGTCCAGTTATACATCCTTTAAACTTTAAACTGTCCGATGGTCTTGCAGGCGGTTCCACAAGAAACAGGAGGAAGGTCTCTCTGGGGCCAAAAAACACAGGACATCCGAGCAACGGATGGTCCTGGACCCTTGGGTTTGATATCTCGGTGACGCAAACCGTGGACCTCCGTGCGGGAAGACGGCTTGAGTGTCCAAAACATCAGTTTAATGGAGAGTTTGTGCGGGAAGAGAATCTCGGTCTACCTTACCAAGCCATGTGTTTCTTTGAGCCTCTGACTGCCTCTGACCAGTCTCTGAGCCCAGGCTGGGCCTGGATGATCTTCAATCGGTCGGTGTAGGTGGCACTAATGTACCTGGAGGAAGACTGGTTGAAGAGAAATGATGGGGTGTGTCTAACAAGTCTAACATCGCCACGACACTCAATCTGTGCAGGACAGGTGACACTCCCTGTTGAAAGTCCCTTTCCGGGAAGATTCACATGCAAGCAAGCAGGTAGACGTTAAAGGCAATGTTTCTGCAGGCCATGTGGCAAGAACCAGTGGAACAGTGGGCCGTGAATCCTCAATTAGTTGGCATTTTGGAAAGTGCTCAGGTATGCATCACTTGATGAAGCCACAAATGCTCTGAGACGGACCTTTGGCAGATTAGCTCACAGCTCTTGATCATTATTTGTTTTCCTCCCTGTGGCTTCGTGCGCATCGGTCTGTCCATGGCTCTGTATTATGTATGTATTTCGACCCAACCAGTGGCCGGACCCCCGGATGTGTTAATTTCTTTTTTGAACAAAGCAGACTGATCAGAGGGACTGACTTGGAGTGAAGAGTTCTTCACCCTCTCGGAACCGACAGCGTCCAATGGCGTCCAGGGGGTTGGAGCCTATTTAAGCATCTTTAATGCCCTTCACCTGTGAATATCGATTCTTAGGGAGCCACCAGTGAAACTGGACCTTTTCGGAGCCGGCTCCTGGCATCGCTACTAGTCACCAGAGGACGCGGCTCGAACGGAGCATTTCGGGCATCGCGAACCGAACGGAGCGATCGGACGCTACGAACGAACAAGAACGCTACTAGGGGCTCCTGGCCATACTACTAGGAACAAGAAACAGGTGCGACCCTCCAGGGAGTGGTCAGCTTCGTCTCGCTCTCGGGGCCCCTACCCACCGGTCGCCGGGATGGCCCATGACGACGCCAGGACACCGGGTCGTAGGTACCCTTTGGCAATTTGTATCATGACGTAGATTCATCAACAAAATATTTACTATTATAGTATATATATATAATATATGATTATATATGTGTTATATGTGCATGTATATATATATATATCAAGCTGGACTTTGGACCTGAACTTCAGGTGGTGAATCATGATCTCTCACTTCCACTCCTAGCCAGGGCCTAGCAGCTAGGGAACTCGCCTTGTCTCCCGCCCAACATCCACAATTCTCAACAATGCTACTTCCCACCAATCCTCACCCTTCCCACCTGCAGCAAGAGCCAGTGTAGGTGAGCATCTTCTGCCACACGTTCACCGCACCCGGTGGCAGCTCAGCCACGTTCTGCTGCATCAGTTCCAGGAAGGCTTCGGTAACGCCATCAACCCGCTGCTGAGTGATTTCATTCCCCAAATGCCTTGGCTGTGGACTCAGATCAGGTCACTGCGGTGCTTCAACGGTCCCGTTTTTGTTGAAGCTTTGGTGTCCAAAGGTCTTGTTGGCTATACCAAAGGTTTCCATATCCCTTTTGGCATTGTTGATGTATCGTTCTGGGATCAGTGATCAGTCATCTATGATCACGGGACAACCACTCCAGCACTCCCCAAGAATCAACTGTGGAGCACAACTCCCATTGAGTACGGTTTCATCAAACCTTAAATAAGTTAGGAGTGGGCCACTGTCATTCCCGTGAGTCATTCTCTATGGATCCAGGTTACCCTCGAATGGTGGTTTGATTCAACACTTGTATGCAATTAGGCTTGGAGTCCTTGGAGTGTCCAGTCGTACCTTCGTTTCGATGGTACGGTATTTGGATTCCCAAAGATTGACCTCATACTTGCAACTCAATATGAGTCTCATTGATTGTTCAGTCGAAGACCGCTGCCTGTACTCCCCTACACCTCCTCGTCCTCAGGTGGTTGGGCTGGTTTTGGGTGGGGTCTAACTACTTTCGGAACAAAGTGCTCGGAGCCCAGCCGGGCTGGAAAACGCTGTCTGCTGGGTGGTCAGCTAGGTCCGGACCACCCCGAGCGGCTGGCGCCCACCCGATATGACCGTCATGAACCGGGAAGACTTGAAGAGTGAGTAACTGAGTATGTTCATTCTGGTGACCAGTGGTCATGCGGGGTAGATTGATTCATGTTTCAAAGCACACCTTGAAGGTAATATGTATCTGCTGTTTCTTATTAATTATAATTCACTAGATATTAATATATATATATGTATATATCATAAATGTCCTGTACACATCTGCACACCTTGAAGGCAATATGTTCTTTGCCTTTCCGCTCATTCTGCCTCACTTTATAGACAGCAAGAGACTCAGCGTTCATAACGTGAAAGAATCGACGCTTCGAACTGAAGGCTTCGACCCAAACTTCACAAGGCCCCCCAGATCCGTCCATATCGTCCAAACTTCCAAGCGGCTTGAAGGCCAAGGTCTCTACTTGGATTTTCAAATCCTGCGCCGAGTTCGTATTTGGAATGTCCTGCATACCCATTCCATGCCAAGCCAGTGTTGCTGCTGCATCCTTTTCCATTGAAACGGCAGCCTCAAAACAAACATCTATAATCATATATATAGTATACATATACACATAATAAAACGAGTCTGTACAAGTGCAAAGTCATGCAAAATCAAAACACTTCACCCAAAAACAGTGGCCCAGTATATTAAGCAACTGTTGCATGTTCTGCACACAAGTTGCTGGATGAGACTGATCGTATACCTTGCCTGGAGCCCCAAACACCCACGTTGATTTGACTGTGTTCACCGATTTTTTGTTGATATGTGTTGATCAAGGTTTTTTTTTTTCCAACAATTCCACTCACAACTTTCCGGACACCAAATCACACCCCCCTACGTGCCCAAACTCACATGTGCCAAAACCAAACGCGCCCACAACCAAAAGTCTCACCGTCCCATTCCGCTCGCCCGTTTCGCTCTCCTGGGGATCAACCGCCTTTTCACACAAGAGCCGGAAGCCGTTGAAGAGGTTCAAGGAGATGATGGCCCTAGGACGACCCTTGAAGGCTTCCTGCGCGCGTCTTCGTCGAGGCGGCTGGACGCTCGTGAGCCCTTTCCGGTGTGGTGCCAGTCGAAGCCGGGGGAAGCCGCTGCAGCAGGAAGAACACGCGTGTGGCCGTCTCGCCCAGAAACACGAAGGGTGGTCCCATGTTGGTGTTTCTACGTGGATCCAGCTGTACCCTCTTTTTGAGGATGAGCAGGGAGACACCTTTAATACAATTTGGTGCCATAAAAGCCCCGTCATACCATATTAGATAAAGGTGAAAGGATTGTAAATTATAAATATGATTTAAAGGATGATAAAGGTATCTCCAACCACCACAGGGGCAAGTGTTGGCTCCAGGTGGAGCGAAACACATCGGCTTGGCTCCAGCTTTTTTGGCCGACCACGTTGATATCTGCCACGCCTGGATGGCGGTCAAGCGGTTGCTCAGGGCGCCGAAGATGGCATCGCCCACGGTCTCTCGCTCGCCACCCAGCGCCGTCATGAGCATATCCCAGGACCTGAGGGAGGGCCGAATAGTGAGGGGTTGGTGAGGTGCGAATGAGAAAGACACGAGTTGTGTCACCTGTAACCACAGGGAGATATGAGGACTCATATGACTATCATATGACTCATGAGATGTGAGGATGTGAGAGGACTCACCTCTGGTGCTTGGAATGTCCAAATACGGTCCTGACATCCGCTGATTCACCTTGGGACAAATTTCCGTGTGAACAACAGAGATGCTATTCTATGTCAGGTGAAGAACAGGACTTGTTGATTTGTCCATCAACAGTATGATTCAGAAAGAGAGAGCATATCATCAGCATGGGTACAAGTAAGATGATGTTCTGACACATTAATGTGTACTGAGTGTACTGTAAATATGCCAGCACGAGAACAAACCATGGGTGGCAGATTCTCTGGCATAGGCAGGGGAATGTTCTAGAAACTGGAACCCACCAACATGACAGCTTGAGGACCCCTTAAGTCCTTAAGTAGTGCTTTGCAATTGTGATTCAGTGATTCAACCAAACATCTACTTCCACCAGAGAAGTTCCCGGTGATTGACTCTCAACACTGATGTCAACCACCCAAAAGAGCGGTTAGTAAAAGAGGGCAAGACGTGGCAAGACCCAGTGGCCTTTTGTGATGTATGACAGCTGCTGAAATCTAACCAGGCGAACCTTGGATTTGCTCTGGACGGGCCTGACTTCGTGATTTCCTGACCCACCCCTTTCACAGTGGATCTCTTGGGATAAAAGAAACCATGCAGTGACAACACCAAAGACCGAACTGTCTGTCATCTTCCGGCAACACCCAGTTTGAATGGATTACGGGACCCGCAATCTACTTGGTTGACCCTTGAGACAAAACACGCTTAGCTCCCTTCTTTCATTTTTAAGGAACAACGGCAACCTTTTGCTACCGGTTCGATTCGACCACTCATGCCTTGACTCCGATGGTGACTCTGCTGACACTCTGGTCGGCACAGTTATTCAAAGGGAGAAAACGTGAATTCTGAATTCGGAAAGCGTGACAGCAAGTTAAGCACACATATGTCCACGGGTTCATTTAGGGCAAATTTAGGACACCAATCCCCGAAGAATGTGAATATTGATTCTCCACTCCACATTGTAAGAATACCGATTCTATAGAAACCCTACAAGTCCACAAAGACCCAGTAAACCTTGGTCTTTCACCTCTAATTGAGTAGTGTTGTTTGATCAGCTCCCATCTGGTCGATGGCTGCAGGCCCATCTGGTGTGTCCAAGAGACTTGGACAAAACAACCAGCTCTGTCTGAGACCTGAGCCCAGAAAAGCGAGTCTATTTCCGCGTCAGTGTCCCCGTTCGATGTCCCGATCTCCCCGCATCCAACGAATTCCCCGGACCTGGTCATTGCTGTTGGAATCGTCTTTGGTCGATGGGCATGGCCATCTTCGGTCTGTCGTCTTCTTCAGCTCTGCCTTTTCAAATCAAATAATTGTCCAAAGAAGTGTGACCAGCTCTCTTGAGTCTCTGCAGTCTTCAGTGAGTCTCTGCTGTTGTTCATCCTAAATTGTATACCCCATGTTGTGAGAGTACTCTGCCATACATGTTTGCGCGAGGCATCCTTGGACCCCGGGCAGCTCCAGCACTTCTTTCATGTTTTCCATATCCTGGGAGGCAAAAAGACAACGCATCCCACAATCCCACGCAAGCTGTATCAGGCTGTAGGTCAAACTACCAAAACTATATAGCTTACCTGGAAGATCCTGGAAGCTTCTTCGCTACATGGACGGGTCGAACATGGGTGAAAAGAACCCGAACATCGGGGACCAAATCGTGGTGCCTTCGTTGCTTCCGTGTTGGGTCCGGTCCGGTCCGACGAAGGCCCAAAGGGATCTTAGCGGGATCTCCGATCCTTCAAACTCACAAGATCGGAACAACCAAATGAATTCCCATATATATATATATATTGCAGAAAGGAAGGTATGCTATATGTTTGTTCTTTTTTAGATTGTGTTTACTACTTCTCAAACAAACTGACGATTTCGTGTGAACTCATAGTGCCGCGCTCCCACAAAATACAGATACAGCCTGCGAGTTGATCGCTGCGAGGTCCAACAAGCCGGACTCCCGAGGGTCCGAGGCGAATAGTTGGGATTTGAAGACAGTGAAGACATGTCTTCTCTGAAATCCAGGTCACTTTCAAGCACCAAGCGAGGGGTTTAGGAGCAATCCGAGATTCAATCTTCTCCTTCTCAATTTTGCCTCACAACTTGAGGCACAGGCCAGTGCGTAAAATAAACAAAAGACGTCAGTAACTGTAAATCAAGGACAAGGTGTTGCGAAGTTATGATGGGACTTTCTAGGTTGCCCAAAGTGCCCTCTGAAACCATGTGAGGAAGCCGTCCATTTAACAAGCATTTCGACTGCAAGGCCCTTGGGGGTAAGATCGACGTGTAACCACAGGCCACAGGTCAACATAAACAACAGTGGTGGTTACTACGGCAAGCAAGGCCTCCATAATCTTGTGTCCATTTGCTATAGTTGTCTCGTCACCTGGTACACTCCTCGTAAACCAAAAAAAACATGTCAGCAGCGTTTGGACATATATATCATATGTATACATTGTTAAAGGGGCCTATTGAAATTTCAGCAACTGGATACCTAATTGGAGGTCATTCCTATTTTGTTGGAGGCCATCGCGGTCGTAGGTTGGAGGCCATTCCTATCAGGCACCGGTGAGGTGATGACGCTTCCTTTGGCAACTGCCGTTTCCTCGTGCTCCTCAGGTGCGTCTGAAAGGAAGCATGGTTTCCAGATGTGTCCAGCGATCCCATTTTGGTATATTTTGTCCTATCTCTGACAACCATTTGGGAACATCTCACCCCACCTGAAAGCAGCACTCCAGTTCAAAAGAAACCGCTGATAATCTAACTCGTGCATTTTATATGTGCAATCTATTGCGGTTGGATTGCACTTATGTTGCATGGACAAAAAAAAACTTTTTCAATACTTTTGATCAATCAATGACACAGTGACAAAAGGACCGGCCCAAGATGGCCGTTCAGAACAAGCCACGATCAATATTGTCGGAGATTTGTTCCGTGTCAGTATTGTTGCCTGGAATAACCATCAAAAGAAGTAACTTGTACTGCCAAAGGTTGACCGCCTTTGGAACGAAACAAACAAATAACGGAAAAAAACGCAAGAAAACACATCTGTCATATGGCGGATGAGCGAAACTCCTGTATCCGCAAAAACCAGTGTCTGGCCTGAACATCAAGAACAAGTATCTAAATGTATTTAAGCTGATGCACAGGTGGAGAAATGTTGGATACAAAGTCTCCCCTTTGACTTACCAATTACTCAATTTAATGTTCATTGAGTTTGCTCCTTTGGGCAAAGCTCCTGAGCCTGTTCGGATTGGTTTCCAAAAACAAGGCAAAAACTGCACGCAGTGGGAAACTGTTCTCCCTCGGTGAACCAGTTGATTATAGTTGATTTTCTGCTGCGATGTCTGTTTGTTTAACCCAGCTTATCCTTAGATCAACTGTGTTAATCATCTTCAAGCGAATCAGCGTCTCACTTGAGTCATTGAGTGGGCACGTGCTTATTCACAAATACATGTGTATTGTGAACATTATGTATATATTACGACTCTAATATATATATATATATATTCATATGTTATTTCAGTGCAATATTCCAGCTGGACAACCTCCTTTCAATGAATTTCAGCACATGTCAACATCACAAACCCTCCATCTGGCCTTCCTGTCCTTCCTTCTCTTCAAAGCTGAGCACGTCTGTCTCAGGCTGACTCATCCCTGCATCGCTCGCAGCGTCACACTCTGCGACGCCCTCCTCCTGTGCAGCGCCGACCCATCTGTTTTGGAGGGGCGGAACATCGCTGGTCCTCACAACCCCAACATGACTGCAAAAGAACATCTATAGATAGATATATAATATAAATCCCGGGAATCTACACCTGGACCCCGGACCCTCCAACAAATTAATGTTTCCTGGTGACATGCCCAGAAACCTCTTCTTAGGGTCCCAGAACAGCCTGCCGGAGGGTCCTAGCACAAGAAACATCGATCAAATTCCTGAATTGCTGGAAACTACAGATGATCTATAAACATCTATAAACCATTTTAACCTCTAGTAATTCTACAAACCCAATCCAGAAAACTGTCACTCTGGGCCTTCAGTTCATGGCGCCGGTTTCCTCTAGAAGTCCTCCTCTAATAAAATGGAGGAAGAAGGCGAAGTCACCACATTGATTTGAGATGCATTAGCAGTTTGTTTAACCTGTTCATTTGACCGCTAGCACTCTAGAACGTGGAGGACGTGTTGTCTTATAACGTCAGGATTAATAAACGTCCCCTAGTTAATCCGAGCCCATAATACCTCGGAAAATTGCCCACATTGAAAATAGTGGTGGCTGATTTTCTCTAGTTGGGCACTGGACCCCCCCAGGCAATCCGAGCCCACAACCAGGTCAATTTTTCTTACTACTACTATCATCTCCTACTACTACTGCTACTACTACTACTACTACCAATGCTACTACTACACCTACTGCCCCTGCTACTGCTCCTGCTACTGCTACTACTACTACTACTACTACTACTACTACTACTATTGCTATTGCTAGTGCTACTACTACTACTACTACTACTACTATTGCTATTGCTACTACTACTACTACTACTACTACTACTACCACTACGACCACCACCACCATCACCTCCACCACCACCTACTATTGACTTTTTTATACGGTTCAGCCCTCAAGGGCCGGTACCCCGTATTAATTTGATCCTGTGACCTGTGTGTGTGTGTTTGCTTAAACTTTTTTTAACGACTACCACTACCCCTACTACTGCTGCTACTCCTTTTCCTACTACTATTAGTGCTAGCATTATGTACTCCTCCTCAGTCGTCCTCCTACTCACATTACGAAGGTTTGGTGTTTTGCTGGTGGATTCTCTCTTTTGGTTTTCCACACTTGGGATGGATGCCTGGCAAATTCCAATGAGTCCTTTTCTGTTGGGCTCGATGCTATATGTGATCCTTGACTCACCGCTTTTTTGTGTGATGCAGCAAAACCCTTTGCCAAATAGCTTAGATGCTGCGGATCTGGTTTCTTCTCGCCGTCCTTTTGTCTGCCTTTTTCAACTCGGCCGTGAGCTCTCAGGAGCCAATCCATGGAGTGCGTCGGCACAGGGCCGCTAAATCGTGGCCCCAGTTGACCAGTTGAACAGCCCAGTTGACAACTGGGTCCGGAGATGTAGCGTAGGCGCGTAGCCGCGTAGCCACCAGGTCAACTGGGTCAGCTGAATCAACTGGGGTCAACTGGGTTCCGGAGATCCGGTCAACTGGGTCAACTGGGTGCACCACCGCTACATCACCACGACCACTACTACTTACGGGTCAACTTGGGTCCATTGCGTCCATTGAGTTCAAGGTCTGGCAACGACTACTATTACTGGGCATGTTCGACCAAAGATGGATCCCTACTAGTGCCAGGTGTAAAACAAGGCAGTCTGAACAGTAAAAATCAAGCTCAACACCGGGGTTCCCGTATTGAGCTTGGATGGATCCTTTTTTTCCGTGTTGAGCTTGGATGGACCCCTTTCCTCTGACGGGCGATCTCGATTGGATCGTACGCCAATCGACCTACCGAAGGATTGCGGGACCTGCACGTTCGCGAACTTCGGGGGGTTGGGAGTGTGCCAGAGTGTGGACCACCGACGGTTGGACACCGTTTTGACTTGCGAACACTTGCGATATCTTGTGATAAAGTTAGATTCTATAGGGGACACACATCAGCAACAACAAAGTTGAAGATACATCCTCAAGAAGATGAAGAAGCGTTCGAAGGTGTCTTGTTCTGGAACTCTTGAAATGTAGCGACCACCCATTGCATTTTTTAAATATGGTCGACCCTTGTAAATCGAGTTGACCAGGCGGCCACGCCAAATCTCCGGACCCACTTGACCCACTAGTCACTAGTAGTAGTAGTCGTCGTCGTGGTGGTGGTGGTAGATAGTAGTGGTTGACCCAGTAGAGCCCAGTCGACACGTAGTAGTAGCAGTATTCATCGTCGTCCTCCTCGTGGTGGACCCAGTTGACCAGGGGGCGCGCTAAATCTCCGGACCCAGTTGACCCAGTTGACCCAGTAGGAGTAGTAGTAGTAGTCGTCGTCGTAGTAGTAGTAGCAGTAGTAGTAGTAGTATAGTACTATAGTACAGGTAGTAGCATAGTAGTAGTAGGAGTAGTAGTAGTAGTAGAAGTAGTAGTAGTAGTAGTAGTAGTATAGTACTATAGTACAGGTAGTAGCATAGTAGTAGTAGCAGTAGTAGTAGTAGTATAGTACTATAGTACAGGTAGTAGCATAGTAGTAGTAGTAGTAGTAGTAGTAGTAGTAGTAGTAGTAGTAGTA